TGTGTGTAAATCTTAATTCAGGCACCTGAACAGATAATATTTTGATGTTTTCTCTGACAGGGGATTCTGCAATTACTTCAGAACGCTTACTAAAACAGAGTTTGTTCAAAATAATCCTTCACTGAGAAACTGATGATGTTGCAGTCAATGCAGCAATGGGTACTTAAGTACAAATTTATCTTAATTCCCTAATTCTGGAAAACCATTCCCGGAATGGTTCTTCGTCTTTTCTGCCAATCCCCCTGAAAAAATTGACATTAATAATTTAGATTTAATCACACTGAATACAGCAATGTTAAAAAAAAAAAAGAAATCCTTTATTTAAAATTAACTAGCCTCACCTCTCCACACACCCTCTAAACCATGTTCTTTTGAAATTTTCTGACAGTGGATAATATAATAAATGTTATTACTTATATGAATTTTAAACTTCATGTTAATTTCCAAAGAAACTGACTTACCACTGCACTATCGTAATGGGCTTCATCCACCACAGTTACTATTTTTTCTATGGTACTCGGGTGTCTGCAACCTCTCACGCCATTTTATCTCCTAAGATTACCTGTTTTTAAATACCTCAAAGAAATTAAATGCCAATTTGCAGTCCGAGTGTTCAAAGTCAGTCACGTCGTGACCATGTGCGATGGAAATTGAACTCCGACAATCGAATTAACCGACACAGTCAAGTGAGGATTTTTACCTTTTATATGGATCTATCTAAAATATCATGCATTGAAATAAACTGTTCATGAGCTTGTAAAAAGTGATATTAAGAAAACGTTTTTCTGTCTATTTTCAACTAAAGGGGATCTCGTCAAGAAAAGTATCTTGAGGCAGGGGATCTGACATCAAGAAAAAATGACGTGGTCGGGCGTCATGAAACTCAACGGCGACAGCGCAGGTACGTGTTCAGATGCCTTTAGTATTTGACGATAACTCAGCCAATTATCATACAGTTTCAAGCTTAAATTTTCAACATTTCTTTACCTTTATTTGGTATATGTTCCTTATAAATTTTGTAAGGACAGGCTGCATAGAATTAATCCACGACATTTTTGATAACCCCTCGTGTATGTTTGCTTTGCTACAAATGTGTGTTGTTTCAATGGACTTTTGAGATTGATTACTGGTCGTTATATTTATATTTCCTAAAGAAACCTCAATGAAGTACCAAATTCCATTTTTATTTTACAATTAAAACACTGGGATCGTATGCTTATCAATTTGGCGTTTTTTTTTATTAACATCACGTTACGTTAAAAATTTGATTGAAATCACAAGTGATATCTCCCCCACTGTGTTGTACATCTTTCAGCACCATGTGCTTCAGGATTTTTAACTCATATTAATTATACGATTTAGCATTTTAGGTCGTCGCGTCTAAAAGTTAACTAGTACGTAGTTTCATTGTCAGGCTGTGTCCTAAGCCGTGTAATGTCGTTTATGACTTACGAAGTGTCGCACCTTATAGTGTGTATCCTCGTTTCTGATTTTTTCTCCGAGCCTTTTAAAAAACACAAATTCGTCATCCTCGACCTGCATTGCAGTTCAATATTTTTTTCTTGCATTTGAACCTTCTCCCTCCTCAAGTGGTCCCTATTTCTAAGTAATGCCTTATGTATGATGAAGTTTGATGACCATCACCAGGAAACCTGTTGACCTTTGATTGGGAAATCAATATGGGTCATCAGATTATCGTATAGCCAACCTACGTATAAATTTTGATGACTTTCAGTTAGAAGATTTCTTCGAAGGTATTCGGATGGATAAGATTTGATGTGGGTATAGCAAAAGACCAGAAAGTCAATAGAGCCCATCTATTTATAATGGCAAGCTTGTGTATAAAGTATGATGACCATCAAGCCATGACATTGGCGAGAAACCGGGGGTCTAGCAGAAAATCTAATAACCTTTGACCTGAAGATCAAAAGTGTTATTTATAAATAGTTATTATAACCTTCCACTGTATAACGTTTAATACTATCAAGCAAAGGGTTCTCAAAATATTGCTCTGAAATCATTTCACGTGGATATTGCAAAAAACCATAAACAGGAATGAAAATTACCAGACACACATTGCACAGGATAAGGGCAGAAAGTCACAATGTTAGAGAGATGTTCACGTGACAACCATTAAAATTCATAGAGTATTGTTGAAGTTAAATAACTGATATGCTTGTAAATATGCAGTCAATATGTTTATTAGAAATATTTTTCTTTCTTTTTTCTGAAAACCAAGATCTGAGATACAAGTGGAGTGAAAACATTCCATATAGTAGGCAGCAATTCTAAATAGTTTTTCCTTTTTAAATTAAAATGTTTGGAGTTAATAATAAGTTATTTCGAAATTAAAAGTATCAGTGTATGAAAAGCGGCATATATTATGCAAGAAACCTATAGAATTATTTTCAGGCTTCATAATTCAATGTCAAACACATAGCCATTGAAGTATTTTCTAGCGTGTTTCGAAAGATTCTTATATCAATGACAAGACTCCCTAGATGGCAATATCACGTTATAAGGCTTTATTTCAGTGAAGTGGCAATTAATTAAAATATTTTTGACAAGTTAAAAGAGCCTAAAAAGAGGAATATGTAAATGTAATTTTAATCGTGACGCTGCTTATGGCTTTGGATCAGAGTGTAATTGCATTCAGTCCTTGCATTTCCGACATCAATAGACATTAAAACTCCTGGTAATGGGTTATTTTTCTCTAAGGACAATGATTCAAAGCAAAGACAGATACGTTCAATTTTTTTTTTCTGAGTATGGTTATATTTGTAGGACGCCTGTTGTTTTGGCTACGACACAGATAAAAAAAAATCATTTTTTTTTTTTTTTTTTTTTTACAAAATCCCTCTAAACATTTACGTACGAAACAAAACAACAACCTATTTAATTCCTTTTTCTGTATGAAAAAATAGAAAATATTTTATTTTTATTAACGGATTTTGAAATCGACATGATTGACATTATAAGAAGGACTTAGCACTGAGAAAAATTCTAGCCTTTTGTCGTCGTTTTTTTTTATATTAATGGTTAAGTATATCTTTCATGTCACAAAGCTGTAATATCGTCAGTTTTCTAACCTTTTTAAAATTATATCGGGCGACAAGTTTTGCTTAAGTCCATATAAAGTTTTGATTATACATGTTCACGGGTTCTTTACTTGTCGGCAATGGAAATTTCAGAGCACAAATAAAAATACTTAAATGGAAATGTCTCTTTTTTTATAAATACATTTTAAAGTATGAATTGGGGAAAAAATTGAAAAGGCAGAGTTCTGCATATTGATAAAATAAATAAGGTACTGTTCAAGATAATATTAACCAAATAAAACCCCCCACAAGATTCTGTGAAAAAAAAAATATTGTAATTTGACAATTTACAATGAAATTGAAGATCTTCATGACATTAACTAACAGTAGCAAAATCGAAAGATTAAGATAACCCCGATATTCAAAAGGACATGATCAAGGTATATCCATGATAAGATCATACTCTGTTTACATTTCTTATATTGAACCCAATCATAAATGTCTATTTGACAGTCAACTAGTGGTAAACAAGCTGTCAGCTAGTGGATGTATTACTTTTCTGAACAGCTTGGATCTTCTTTCTGTAAGATAATCAGTTTTCTGCTTTACACTGATTTTATGTGAGGTTGAGCTGTAGGTGAATACTCAAACGTTGAAAAATTCATGAGCTCTCGACTTATTAAGCACTTCTACTTATAAAGAAATGGCTATTGTTGAACATTGCATCTTTATGAAGACTTGTTGATGATCGTTTGCCGTTCAGAGTTATTAAAGTTACGGGAGGAAATATCAAACTTCATTCATATTGGAGTTTTTAGTTATAGTTATAGAACTGTTTAGAAGATCCATTATTTCTCTAAGGTCTTGATTTGTATTCATATGTTATATGTCAAGTGTGTTTAGTTTGAAAATGAAGAGTTATACTGCAGATGTAAGAATATTTTTGCTTTTGAATGATTGAGCTGGTAAAAAAAAAATTTAATCTTAATTTCCTCTGCATCACCATATATTTACTCCTGTTCTTGCGTATTTCGTCAAATAACAAAATATTAAAATTTTAAATTGATATTATTAAATTATTTTTTGTCCATTTAGAACAATTTTTGATTTAACATATTGCACTTTATAGCATTGCGTTTCTGTCAACTAAAACCCAAGTAAACGTCATCCTTAAAACCGACTTATTTTTAAATGCTGTTGTAATTATTATGATCCTTACAAACAACGAATAAACGAAAGCATAAATAGACTCAAATTATACAAAACTAAAGACATCTTGCATTTATTAGATTTTTACGTTACAGACAAATTAAATTTAAAAGATTTTCAAATGAAGCTTAAAGTGTTTAAAAGTTTTTGACCACAAGGATCTTTAGGAAGACCTTTTAAAATGTGGCTTACAGCTATTCAAAGTAAACACGTCACACGTCACTGTAGAGATAACATTTTAAATGTATTGATTCAGTTGCTAAATAGATAGTTTGTTACAGGAATATTCGGTAGCCAATTGTAATAATGCGACTCGTCGATCCATTTACGTAATGTAGAAAGTCAGCTTGTCGTGCCATTGAAGTGGTTGTTATGAATACATGTATGCATTAATAATAACCCTATATTATCATCACTAACGATCATTTTTTTCATAAGAAATCACAAACGGAATGCACATTGTGAACTTAGCTTCTTTCATGCAAGTACCGTTGTTTTTTTTTATGCCCAGTTCTTTGAATTTTATCGTGAATTGATTGTAACAAAAACGGTATATATATTACATACCTTAAATTCAATGCACTAGAAATTGAACTGAAGTACGTCTACGAAGTATAAAAAGAAAATGTTTAAGAATCTTGTTTTTGTGTGTAGTTTTCTGAGCATCTTCAGAAAATTCTCTACTACCTTTTCCTATGAAGGACAACTGACAAGGAACTTTTCTTTTGACAACACTTTGCCATCAGACATTTCGTATTTTATAAATTTTTTCGAAAATGTTCGTCGAACAGAATGTGCTTTGCAGTGTCTACTGCTAAAATCAGCATGTGCGGGAATCCTGTACAACGACATGCTTTTTTCTTGTAAACTCCTGAATCGTCATTTAAATGAAAGATCCGTTAACAGAACACGTGTTGAAGTTGGGTGGACATTCTTTAACAGTAAGTTATTAAAATGTCTCCATACTAAATTAAATAGAAAATCATTCACTCAAAATGATTGTGTTTTACATTGAATCAAAGATTCAATCAAAACTGCACAGAACCTACTTGTATGAGAAAGTGGAAAGAAATATTAATATCAGATAGCATAGAAAATAAATTCCATAATACATATGAATACATATGAAGTTACAAATAATTGGAAACGTCAGTGATTTTATCTCCATATTTCAATATAGAATTCTGAACAATATTTTTACTTTAAACTCACATTAATTCAAAATCAAAATTAGAGATGAAAAATTATACTTTATTTCTCATTTAGAAGAACATACAATTCATATGTTTTGTAGTTTGATAGTGTTTAATATTTCTATAAGAGACGTTAAAACTTATTTTGAACAATTTTTAGTATACATGTACACTGTATGCGGATGACAGTACTATTTTTTATGCACACATAGATATTTTTATTATTACACAAAAACTTGGCATTGTTCATGAAAACTAATTCTCGTGGTTATTGCAAGAGATGCTACATGATGGTTTGTCCAATGTTATATTTCATAACCATTAGAGTGATTATTTTAAGCCTAAATGAATAAGGTAAGAAATGTTGTTTTTTTTTAAAGCATTATTATTACGTTGAGTTCACCATGCATCGGACACCCTCCTACTTAAACAAGTTCTAGCGATATCGCTACCGACCGAATATTATCAAAATAGAGCTTAATGTATAATATAGGATTAAAATATAAATTTTTGATACAACCGTATGTTATTTAGTGAGAAAATATCTTAAATTTTTCCTTTTTTCGAAATGAGCTAGAATTCACCACGGATCGGACAATATTTACCATGCATTCGACAAACGGTATTTGAACCTGAAGAATGTCATACGTTTATCTCGATGCTTTTAAATGAGTGATATTAAAATATTTTTATCATTTCTTTTAAAATAAACTTTCAAGTTTAATTTGATTGTCTTTATCGATCCACAAATGTGGAGAGATTTTAGTGGTATCACATCGCCTAAGAAAGGCTTTACAGTACTAGTAATATGGCAACTCGCGCCTTTGTTTTGTGGATTTTCATCTTTTAGTTTGTAGAAATAAATAGAGTCCACTTCTAGTGGTCATCTATCGATAACTTGTATTTTCTCTGAATATTTATAGTTTTAATTTTCTATTTCAGCCCAAAACAGGTTTCAGTTGGGTTCTATACGAAACACTGCGAAAAGGGAAGTGGTTACCCATGCATGGGGAAGTGCCCGATACATGTTTATTTTAAATTTGTGTCCGGTGCACGGTGAAATGAACCTACTAGTAAAAAATAAACTCTAAGAAAATTTATACAAACATCGACGTAAAATTTCTGGAAAATTTCTATAAAATTATCAATAATTCAACGACTCGTTCCTTGAAGTTTAATTAATGAAAAAGAACTATAAAAATTTGCAAAATCGTAAAATTATGGTTACTTCCCTTTGATGACGTCAAATTTAATGTTACTTCAAGGCCGTTCTCGTGGTATTTTTATCACATAATAAAAATCGACATTATTAAAAAGTTGAAATCTCTATGTTTAAGACAAAAACAACTAAAACATGTGGACATCTAGGTTTAATGAAAGTTTATTGATCAAAGTCGTCCGAAGCAAGGTATGTGTCCGATGCATTGTAAACTCACCCTAAAAAATTCCAGTCTGTATTTTTTCCATGTAACTTTTTGCTATTAATCTAATTATAATTTTAGAACCCAACTAAAAATAAGCTTTTAAAGTTTTATGGGCTATCCTTAGGTATCATTTATCATCTGTATGCTATGAAACATATAAATATATTTGCCTAGTAAATAGATCTTTATCAAATTGCATAGTGCTGTTTTATATGTGTATAATAGCATTCTGTTATATTTTTACCTGCAGAAAATGAAATAATTTGAAATGAAACATAAAGATAATCTTCAAATATCTATAAAATCATTTCAAGCATTTTAGGTAACATTTGAATTATATATTCTTTACAGTTTGTCCTGTTGGCTGGGTTCTTTTTGGAGGTCATTGCTATTTTCGAAGCCAGACGGAAGACTCCTGGAATAACGCCCAAGTAAAAACTATATTTACATCCAATGAATATTTTCTCCTTTATTGCTTATGATCACTCCTTCCCTGATTTAATTTATTACATTATTCAATCAACGTCACACTAAGCTGTTACATGTATGAAGGTTGTTCAAGGTAATCTACAAGGGAGAATTGTTCAGACATTTGCTCTTTTATTAATGAAACACAGTGTAACATATGCATGCCTAACAGATCAATAATAACATATGCATGCCGTACAGATCAATATTCAATGTTTTACGTACTTAAACATACTTTTTGAGATTATTGATAAAGAAAATTAAATATCTTTCTCTTATAATGCGGGACTAACAGTTGCAACCATTACAGGAACGAATAACAGCTCGATTACACGGGTTATGTATTTTTCTGAAATATTCCATTATAAACAAAGAAATCATGTTTTTTTTTTTTCGGTTCCGAAAACCCTTAAAAGGAATGAATTTGATAGCTTTCCAAGTTACATGTATACTGTGTAAGCAGGGTTTGGATAGTTTACATTTATAAACCGAAAATAATAACTTGAATATAAAAACACAAAACTCTTCAAGTCTATGTCGTACATGTATAATTTGGAGTAGCACTTTTTAGCTCACCTGAGCAGAAGGCTCATGTGAGCTTTTCTGATCAAAATTTGTCCGTTGTCCGTCGTCGTCGGCGTTGTCGTTGTAAACTTTTCACAATTTCATCATCTTCTCCAGAACCACTGGGCCAATTTCAACCAAACTTGCCACAAAGTATCCTTGGGTAAAGGGGATTCAAGTTTGTTCAAATGAAGGGCCACACCTTCTTCCAAGGGGAGATAATTAAGAATTTGTGAAAAATTAATGGCATCATTAAAATATCTTCTTCTCAAGAACCACTGTGCTTGAAAATATGAAACTTATGTGGAAGCATCCTCAGGTAGTGTAGATTCAAATTTGTTCAAATCATGACCCCTGGGGGTCGGGTGGGGCCACAATGGGCGATCAAAGTTTTACATATGAATATATAGGAAAAATCTTTAAAAATCTTTTTCTCAAGAACAGCAAAGCCATGATTGGTCATATTTACGTGGAAACATCCTCAGATAGTGTAGATTCAAGTTTGTTCAAATCATGACCCCCGGGGGTAGGGTGGGGCCAAAATGGGCAATCAAAGTTTTACATAGGAATATAAAGGAAAAATCTTTAAAAATCTTTTTCTCAAGAACAGCAAAGCCATGATTGTTCATATTTACATGGAAGCATCCTCAGATAGTGTAGATTCAAGTTTGTTCAAATCATGACCCCTGGGGGTCGGGTGGGGCCACAATGGGCGATCAAAGTTTTACATAGGAATATATAGGAAAAATATTTTAAAATCTTCTCAAGAACAGCAAAGCCATGATTGGTCATATTTACAAGAAAGCATCCTCAGATAGTGTAGATTCAAATTTGTTCAAATCATGACCCCCGGGGATAGGGTGGGGCCACAATGGGTGATCAAAGTTTTACATAGGAACACGTAGTAAAAATCTTTTTAAAAAACTATTTCTTAAGAACAGCAAAGCCATGTTATGCATATTCATATTCATATGGAAGCATTCTTAGATAGTGTACATTCAAGTTTGTTCAAACATGACCCCTAGGGGTCGGGTGGGGCCACAATGGGTGATCAAAGTTTTACATAGGAATAAATAGGTTAAATCTTTAAAAATCTTCTACTCAAGAACAGCAAAGCCATGATTGGTCATATTTAAATGGAAGCATCCTCAGATAATGTAGATTCAAATTTGTTCAATTCATGACCCCCCCCCCCCCCCCACTTTTATATTTAAACTTTTCAACCTTTCAAGACTGAACTGATTTCTGCTTTTTTTCTAGCCATAGTTCTCAGGTGAGCGATGTGGCCCCTGGGCCTCTTGTTTATTTCTTTTTTTTTTTTAATTTTTGAAATGTAAGACAATTTCCTTTTAAAAATGGCTTCTAAATGTACACATTTCAAAGGCTATATACACCGGATGTTTTGATGCAAGTCAAAATGTGTTGTAGGCAATACAGGTAAAACATTTGATTGTTGTCTTTTTTAAACGAGGTAAATCAATTGAATTACTTTTTTCTATTCAATGAAAAGGCAGGTAAAATGGAAATCAATTTGTTTAGTTTTTGAAATAAAAATGCTGGGTAATTTTATAATTTGAATGAGCGAGTGTGTAGGTACAACAAGAATGTACCTAACTATTCTGACTTGCAGCACAATAGAACCTGACAGTGATATAACGTACACGTTAACAACTAAGTATGTCCCCATTATCACCAAACCCTCTAACCCCGTCACTACCCTAAATACGTCCCTTCCTGGATATTGACAGGTGTGAGTTTCTCCTCTGTTGGACACACAAGTCCTGCGAGAGTGTAGGAGTAGCACTCCAAAGCGTAGCTGCCTACAACCCAAATGAAAATATGTAAATAAAAGTTTACGTCTTTATTTAGTGGCGTCGCTGCATGGAATGACCAAGAGTCGGGCAACTTTCCATACGGAGACCCACACTGTTGGTTGTAGATATTAGCCAATCAGAATTTAGAAATTAAAACGGAATTGTCCAAAAAGTGTGAAAATTTACCATATTTGTAAAAACTTCCAAAAAGGTAGGTAATGCGCAAAAATGAATACACACTAGATTTCTTTGTCCTTAGCAGATATCCAATTTAACCAAAAGATAGCCGAGAGGGTAAATTACTAAATACTTGTGTAAACAATATAGACTGACCACTAAAGCTCAGAAATTACCGAAATAACACAAAGTAGTCATAACGCAGATTTTTATTGATAAATAGAATATATGTAAGAAGGACACTGATAGAGACAATAATTTTCTATATAAAGGTAAGCTAACATTTATATACTAATTATAGTATGATTTCTAACATTTGATTTAACTGTATCGTCTGTAATTCTGCCAAAGTTAATTCCACAGCACTTGCACAATAAGAATCGGATTTGTGAGACAGCATTTAAAGAATAACTCTTTTATATAAATAGTATATTTTATGAAATATGTAAATATTTTTATGATGATAAGTTTCTTATGCAAACTATGATAATATATAGTTTTACTAGATGAAATCCCGCGCAAGCGCGGGGAATTGAATTTATACCACTACCGACAGAAAATATATTGTAGTTCTCTACTGACAGCCTACAGGCTTATAGCAGGAACAAATACTTTGTTCAAAATCCCGCATGAAGTAGATTTACCTATCCAACACCCCCCCCCCAACCCCCATTTTTTGTTTTTGTTTTTTTTTTAACTTGAAAAAATGCGATTTCATTAATTGACGTTTATTGTGAAACCTGTTATACTATGTTGTGGATATTGTACTTCAGATGCTCTTATTTCATTTCCGTCAAGGATAAAAGCAACGAATATGCACATGTTACTAATAAATTGATTTTTTTTTGGGGGGGGGGGGTAAAAATTCACAGGTACTTGGGTCTTGGTTTATAAATATGTTTGTACCTTATTGATATGTAAAAATGTACGTTACTTTTTTACCTATCAATAAGGTACATACATATTTATAAACCAAGAACCAAGTACCTGTGTAAAAATTAGCTTTTCACGCCCTATGAATAGGCTGAGTATTTGATACAAAAGATTATAGCCCTCTCGGATTTTCTTTTTTCTTTTTCTTTTTTTTTGGATCTGATATTTTCTGACCTCCCCCCCCCCCCCTGAAAAAAGGAGAGGGCTACATTATTCCAGCTATAAAAGATTGTATTCAGAAATTAACTGTGCATTGAGTAAAGCGCAAAATTTTACATCTTTAATTGTATTTGAACATTATTTTATTCATTAATTTTCTATTTTCATGTATACAAGTTTATTACGAAGTACAAATTGTACTTCGGGTTCGTTGCCACGATGCGCTCAGTAAGGAATATATACAAATTTTACCGATAAATTAATTAGGAAAACCTACTACATACATGTATATGTTATAGTCTTTCGATATTTAATTATATTTACAACTTATATAGTGTTATCAGTGGTTTACCATTATTTCAATTATGACCATTTACACAAAAGCTTTATTTATGGTCATGTAGCTATAATCGCCTCGTTTTTTGTCCCTTAACATCGGGCTCGATGCTATATGATGTTCTAGAAGCTTCCGTCAATATAAAGATCGGCGAATGACGAAAATATTTTGCACATTTCCCTTTTTAATCGGTTATCACAACTTATTTCTTTTATATCATTTAAATCGAGTTTTGATTGAATAATTCAGTGATGACGTTTTATGTAATAAATAAACGATTGCTTGTTGTCAGTTTCATTAAAAATTGCCAGTAACTTAGATCCGCCAACCGGAAACGCCACCGTACTCACGTTTTAGCTATTTCATGGCTGTTTATAGCAAATGAAAGTAGACTTTTAATTTAATGTACGATACTTACTATGCGAGTGAAATCTAAATATAGTTTACGGACATCAGCTTGTGTCTAGTGTATTGTAAGAGGAGTAAGTAAGAACTCTGGTGCACCCGTTTCTGAGTTTATTTGCAAAATTTATTAATTTATAAGTATAGATGATATGGACATACTGTAAGACATGTTAACAATTATGAATGGGATAGGCTCAATCCCAATATACCGAGGTAGTACTGTATATGTGTATTTTTTTTTCAACATAAGCATGTTATATATCTATCATGTTTTTTGTGAAATCGATAAACAACTTTCCTCCATGCGCTATTCTATCGATATCTCTGACATATGCATGTACATATTCATTTTCACATGTTAGCCATTTTTACTAAGGTCTTTGTCAAAGATTTGATTAATGTTGAATACAGTAAAATTATTAATTTTGGTGTACATTTGCCCTAATACACTACAGGTTGGAGAAAACGTTAGCGCGACGTCATCACATAATAAAATACGTTATATTAACATTTTTTCTGTTGTTGATACTTTTCTCAAAATACAATTTAAAACTGTTTTAAATTTTAAAAAACTAATTATTTATGTTTACAAGTTTAAGAAAAAGGGACAAAAAAATTAAACTGAAAAGAATTCTATTCAATAGGTTGACGTATTGTAGAGGGCCCTGGTGACGGAGTTAGAGTTCATTAATTTGACGTAATGTACGTGGATGTGATACGCGTTCTATGTGTTCTTTTTTATAAGCCCAGTTACTGCACTTTTCTTTAAATAGTAATAAAATCAGTATTTCAGTTCATTAATAAGTGTAGCAAACAGGAAACAATAATTCAGAGTAAGGCGGACTGTTTTCCGATTATGGTGACGGAGTTTGGGTACTCGGCGACACAAAGAGGGTACATGTATATTTTTTTGTTTTTGTTTTGTTTGTTTGTTTGTTTGGGGTTTTTTTTCGCTTCCCGTAAGTAGTAAATGACCCTTACTGATTTTGGTACGTCCCCAGGTCAAAGGTCAATGTTAAAACTGGATATGGGAAGATACATGTACTGACCGTTCAATATTTTGAGATCACTTACAGACATCAAACATGGTACTACTGTTTTCCCTTAATTAGTAGTTACCATTGTAGACTCGTTGAAAGTCAACATTTCATAAATTCTATGGTCCATACAATGACCTCTCAGCAAATATAATCTATCATTTAGTCGAATGTGGACTGAAGTTTTACATACTTATGATAGGTCATCGTTTTCACACAGAATTGTTGAACGGTGGGTGTAACCGCTTGACAGGGGATGCTTACTCCTCCGTGGCTCCTGACCCCACCTTTGATGTTTTTAGACAGCCCTGTTTGCTCTGCTCCAATTTGGATTGTTTGAAAGGTCTTTTGAGCTTCATAACTCTTTCATTACAAAGACTGTTAAAACATCCAACTATCTGAATGTCCATAATTTACTTTCTTAAATGATAATTGCCCGCGTGGCGCAGTGGTTAGAGCGTTTGGTCTAGAGTCAAGGAGCTGATCCTTACCTCGCAGATTCGAATCCCACTGCGGAACGTGGAGACTGCTCCTTCGGATAAGACCTACAGGTGTATATGCCGAGATCTCCTGTCACAGTAGGTGCTCCCTCACTGCCCAATGTCTTAATTTGTAGCCATCCACCGGCCAAGTGGTGATGTCTCAATATGAGTGAAAAATTCTCGAAAGGAACGTTAAATATAAGGAATTATATATTCAAAATTATTACAGGAAGACTGTTTAAAGTATGGAGCTCATCTTGTTGAGATAGATACACCCGCGGAAAATACATGGCTCATGGAATCCTTTCTTCCCCCCTGGAATGACGGTAAGATGCTTGGAATAAATTTAAATCTTAATCTTGTGTGTTTTGTCAAATGCTTACGTGTTTGCATAACCTATATATGAAACTGAAAAGAAACTTCTCTGCGAAAGATAATTGTTAAAGTATCAAATTAAATTGTATTATTATTAAACCAATTATACCATTACATATAGTAATACTCTGAGATCAAAAATTGAAATGTCAATATACTTGCTTTTAAATTAAAAATAATTATTTTTCGTACGTTTGATGAATATTGTAGCTGTTTACTTGAGGATTGAATGTGAATGTCACCAATATATTTTTAACTTCATTAGCTTTATGTATCAAGGAATTGAACATCCTACGTCTTCATATGTGTTATTTTTTTACTCATTTTCTTCTGGAAAATTTGTGACCAATGTCATGGTCTCGTTCAACCAGACACTTGGCTGTCTCCGTAAACTCCGACCAGCAGAGAGTGTGGTAAAGAATTCCGTTAGCGTTTGTAACCGTCAGAAGGCGCTATCTTGTTTTCATTTTGATTACCCTTTTTTGAAAACGACTGTTATTTATGTGGATTGTAACTTTATATTATATATATTAATAAACTGATACTAAACGAATAATAACAATATCAATCGAAGAAATGTGTATTACGTAGATAGACTACACTACTTTCACTTTTGCGGTTTTTTTGCAAGGCATTGTAAACACACTTACCTATAACCGGTGGGCAATACCATAAATAATTCCTAACTGCTATACCTTCTAGATATTAAACTTTTAAATCTCTTACTTGTATCTCTGTCGATTTATCGTATGTATGTGTTTCATATTGTGGAGATGTGTATTTTTCAGCCAATCAAAAACTTAACCAGAATTTCGCGTAAGCCTCGTTTTGGCATTAAAAAACGCTATCACGTACGTTTACCAGACTTTCTTTTCGTCGGATATCGAGTGTCTGGTTGAACGAGACTACCAATATCATCCAAATTCTAAGTCTGTTAACTCATTCTCAAAGGTATTCTGGGGGCGCCAAAACCGAAGTACGAGGTTTTACTTTAAAAATACTTTGGATAACATTTTCATAAATTTTACCTTCAAAAACAAGTTACAATTTCTAAAACGAGGTAAATTAGTGACAAACAAGTTGATCAAACAAGAATCTCAGCAGTCTCGTTTAAAGTCATCATTTCGTAAGTTCTATGGTCGATACAATGACCTTGTCAGCAAATACAATTTATCATTAAGTCAAATGCTGACTGACGTTTTTCCTACTAATTGTTAGGCCATTATTTACACACTGAATTGTCGACGGATTTTTCCATTATTTGCCGATCATGACAAGGAGCACACGGCGGGTGTGACCGGTCGGCAGGGGATGCTCACTCCTCCATGGCACCTGATCCCACCTCTGATGTTTTGGAGGTCCGTGTTTACTCTGCTCCTATTTTGTATTGTTTAATGGACTTTTGAGCTTGAATACTGTTCGTTATCTCCATATATTTCATTCACACGTTCTCGATTTAACAAATAAGGAAAAAAAATTAATTACATATGTTTCTGCCACAGAAATATGTCTAAATCATCGTAATTGACCCCGCTTTTGGGAAAGCGATAGGGCATTCAATTTCATTCATCTGTCTGTCTGTCACAAAAACTTAAACCTTGGGTCATAACTTTTGAATGAGAAAAGATAGGACTTTCATATTTCACATGTGCATACTATGAGTTTTGCCCCCGCGACCTTGGCCTTGAAGTTTTACTTATTTTTCGAAAATTTTAACATTTACTTTTGCCTTGCTCGTAACTTTTGAATGAAAAGAAGGCTTTCATATTTCACATGTACATTACCTGTGAAAAGCCTTTCAAAATATACTATCATTTTTTTTACTCTATGAACTTGACCTTGTAGTTTGACCTTTTCAAAAATTTTAACATTTTCATATCTTTTGAATCAGAGAAGATAGAGCATTCATATTTGACATGTACATAACCTCTGACAAGAGAATTCCGAACGTGCTATGATTTTGACGATAAACCTAATTTTCAACAATTTAACGTTGGTGAATGAATGAAAATAGGGCGTTTATATATGACAAGTGCATTACCTGTGATAAAACGTTTCCAAATATGCTATGGTATTTGACCCTCTCACCTTGACTTTCACGTTTGACCGTATTGTCAAAAGTTTTCTCATTGCTGGAAACTTCACCAGGAGAGAAGAGAGGGCATTCTTATTTGACATGTGCATTACCTGTGACAAGACGTTTCCAAATATGCTATGATTTTCAAACCCATGTGCTATGATATTTGACCCCATGACCAAGACGTTTGATTTTATTTTTCAAAACGTTTAACATTGCTGATACCTTTTGTATGAGAAAAGATGGGGCATTTATATTTCACATTTGTATTACCTGTTCCAAGATCTTTCGGAATGTACTCTGGTTTTTTGACCTTAAAGTCTTTTTCAATTTTCTTTTTACCTTGGTTATAACTTTTGATTAAGAGAGGATAGGGTTTTCAAATTTTGCTTGTACATTTCCAATGAGAACACCTTTCAGAAAATTATATAATTTTTGAATTCATCATCATGACCCACATGTTTGAAGAACACAAAAAACAAAACAACAGTTGCAATATACCATAAATAATTAGCTCCAAACCACTAAGACACCGAAAGCGGGGGACCTCAGATCTTTGAATAAGCATATTACAAATTAAAAACTATCAATTACAGACAATAAGGACAGACATTTTCGTAACTTTATGCCAACAATCCTCATGTTGTTCGGGAACAAGTTTCTTCAAACATGGTCTTTATGACAAGGATAGGATAGGGTAATCAAATTTCCACTGATTTTTTTTCTAAAAAGAAGGTTTAAAAATTTCCTTGGATAGTAAATCATCTGGGTTCAAAAGCAAGTCAATTTCCTATGAATTGTAAATTAAATTGTTTACAGAATTGTTCTCTGAGCATTTCAGTGATGACGTGCTATATGCTCTAAATATGTTTTTAAATAGAACAGCAAGGCTTCAAATAGGAAGTTACTAATGTCGAAAATATGGTAATAATTGATGAAGGAAAATCAATTCCATTGAGAGTTGTTGTCAAGGGTTCGGTTCATACATTGTTTTTTGTTTTGTTTCCTAGTCGCCTGTTCTACGTGGCACAAGTGCTGCAGTTGTTGGATTGGGGCAACAGATATCGATAGCGAAGGTGTTTTTACTTGGAATCGCCGTACCAACATCACGTTTACAAACTGGTACCCTAACGAGCCAAAAAACTATTTAGCAGAGGAAAATTGTGTCGTGTTGTGTCAAAATGGGCTCTGGAATGACGAATTTTGTAATTCCAAATTTACTTTTATTTGTAAAAAATGATATGGTAAAGTTTAACCACAGATTTAGTAAGTTTAGGAAGAAATTGAATTTATTGAATTTTTTTTCCAACTGATAATACAGCACTTTCAAATCTTCATTTGTGCATTTTCGTTGATAAATGTTTTGTAAAGCATAATTCTATTTTCTCTTTATAATACAGAAGTCAGATTTGAATGTGTTGCGTTGCTCGTTTATGAAAAACATTTAATATAAGAATATTGCAATATTTCATTAAACTGAATTTAATAATCTTTCTTTTTTAATTTTTTTTATGTATCACATCTTTTTATTCGTTATGTACTGCACATACAAAAATATTGGTTTTGAATTTATAACTACATGTAGAGTGAATTCACCATAAATCGGACACCCTCGGACTTCAACAAGTTCTACCGATATCGCTACCGACCGAATACTATCAAAATGGAGCTTAACATGTATGTTGTTAAAATATAATTTTTTGACACAAGCGTATGCTCTTTATTGAGAAAATATCACTAAACCCATTTTTTTTTTCGAAATAAGTCAGAATTCACCATGGATCGGACAATATTCACCATGCATCGGACATTCACTTTTTAAACCAGAAAAATATCATATCTTGATTTCAGTGCTTTAAAATTAGTGATATCGAAACATTTTTATCTTTTATTTAAAAATCAACTTTCCAGTTAAATTTATATGACTATTTCGATCCACAAATGTGAAGCGATTTTAAATTTAAATACATCATATCGCCTTAGAAAGGCTTTACAATGCTAGTAATATGACAACTCGCGCCTTTGTCTCGTGGGTTATCATCATCCAGTTTAAAGAAATAAATCGAGTCCCTTTCTAGTCGTAATATATATGTAACTTTTCACTGATAATTTAGAGTTTTTATTTTCTATTTCCGTAAAAACAGCTGTCATTTGGGTTTTATATGAAAATGGAAGTGATTATACCCTTGCATCAGAAAGTCTCCGATGCATGGTAAATTTGTGTCCGATGTACGATGAAATAAACGTACCAGTAAAAACAACTCTAAAAAATATTAAACAAACATAGAAGTAAAACTTTTGACAAATTTCTTTAAAATTATCAATCATTGACAAATTTTACCTGGGTCCCTTGAAGCCTATTTAAAAGAACGACAAGTGTAAAATTTGCAAAATCGTAAAATTCTGGTTACTCCCCTTTGATGATACAAAATATGACGTAATTTCAAGGCCATTCTTGTGGTATTTTTATCATATGAAAATAAAAATCGGCATCATTAAAAAGTTTAAATGTATTATATCCCATCGGCTTTCGGCTGTCCTGCGACTTATTTTTTTTTTCAAAACACGCCCTCGCCGTTCACGGTAGCTCAGTCGGTAGAGCGCTCGCTCTGTGATCGGGAGGTCGTGAGTTCGAATGTCGGCCGCGACTGATCTAAGTCGATAAAAAAAATGGGTAGCAACTGTTCCTTCGCCATGCGCTCGGTACTTTGAAGTGAAAGGTGCGGGTCCTTTGGATGAGACCTTAAAAACCGAGGCCCCGGCAACGGCAGACGTTGGCACGATAAAGAACCCTCACTGCTCAATGGCCCTGAGTGCCGAGTAAAGGTCAAAATTGGAAGCCCTTCACCGGTATATGGTGACGTCTCTATATGAGTGAAAAATTCTCGAATGGGACGTAAAACAACATACAATCAATCAATCAAAACACGCCCTCTGCTCTTCAGCGAATAATTGACATTGCCTAAAAAATTTCTATTGCTTTCCGTTACACGGTTTACCATATAAAAACAACATCTCAAAATATTTTAATTTCATCTTAATTTCGTTTTTTTAAATTTTTTTTTGTATTTTTAATGTTTTGTCTTTGTTCTGTTTTTTTTTTGTTTGGTTTGGTTTTGCTTCAGCAGTTTTAGAAATATTTCAGCAGAAAAATTTTCAGTTGTCAATTTATAATTCCATTTTTTGGCACTATTCAACAGCTTTTAACAATGCTTTAAATGAGTAAACTGATCTTTTAACATAAAAGGTTTATTTATTGCATGTATTCTTTAAGACTCTTACTTCAATTCCTTCCCGTGGCTAGCAATGGAGCAAAAGAAATTTCCTGGGTAAAGAAAGTATAGAAGGAAATGGCTCTAAAGAAAAATAAATAAATGTCGAATCTGGAGGGAAAATATGAATAAAAAGAGTTACAATACTCAACGGGAATAATGCTGAACTCCAACTGTGAAATAAACGTATGTGATTTTAATTTATTCAGTTGATTCCATCCTTTCGAACTGTCAAATACTGAATAAGAATATAAGTCATGGGTACATCATTTGTTTTTACAATGGATATCTAAGATGTCGAAGATAAACTTAATCTGATAAAGTTGTGTTATTTGTGTTATTAAAAGCAAATCTCTGGCTATTTTTGGGTGGTTTCTTATACCGGTATAATTGATTGAATTAATACATGATAAAAGCTTACTTTTATCTTTCTTAAAATTAACCCTTGTGAAAAATAACCTTATATTTGAGCCGTCCCATGCGAAAAGGGCCCTTATGTAATTTGACGTCATAATGAGAAAAACGCCGGTAAAGAAAACGGCATAAAACGCAAGTTGCGTATGTTATATATTTTTCCAACTTTTTTATCTGAGCGCTATCAACTTATTTCATTGTTGTTTATATCATTTAGAGCCAATAAAATATCAGGATAAAAAGAAAATATGAATTTTAGAGCTAAGTTCCATATAAATAGACATTTCCAATAATGAATATTAAATTTTGCTGATATACATGTAATTAGGTGCTTTTTTTTATCCAGTATTCTTAATACATTTATTATAGGTTCACATGCACCCTCCCAGATTTTTCTATTTTTAGAAACATATTTCAACATTTAGATTTTATTAGTTTCAGAAACTTTTTTATTTCACAAAAACCTTATTTTCCATCAATTCATTTATTTCAAAGTTACAATGTTCTTTTACCCGCTTTTCTTTAATTCCTTGTTGTGTACAGATTTTAGAATTATATTGTGACAAGTATATCTTGCATTCCTTTTGTCAATTTTTCTTTGAATTATATAGAAATCAATTAGTGTTGCATAAATCAAAAGAAGCCGATTTACTCTGTAAATTCATTAAACAAACCTAATTTCACACTTATGCCATTTGCTCTTTTTCATCGTAATTGTAGATAAACCCTTGGGCAAATCGCGCTTTTTGATGGCACTTTTGAGCCCATTGTTCTTCTCATCTTTTCAAGCAATTATGTTGACAAGATTAACTCAAGTTCCGGACAGGGGACGCTATCTTGTATTGTCCGATCACTTTTTCCTCGGACTTCAAAAAATAAACACGTAAAATTCTACTGAAGTCTCCTGTCCTATTTTACAGGTAAACTATGTTTTACATATCTATCTTTTTGTCTACATTTGTTGCATTTTATAATTTGTACAATTTCATGTGTTTAATTTTCATAATGCAAATGTTTTTTAATGAACATTTTATTCGGAAAGTTGTCAAAAATCATAATTGTTTATTGCTGACCTTTGTTTTGTAACAAATCATTGTTCAGAATTCAAGTTTCCTTATTTTCTATTATAATTTATTATAATGAGTGACTGAGTGACTCAGGTGACCTAAAAATGAAAAAAAAAACATACGATTTTTTTTTTCTCAAAACATTTATTCTATGTGTGTAAAAGCGATAAATGGCGATCTGCCTTCGTCACGGTCATTTGCGGGTCAATGTGTTTGTTGTCTTATTCAAGTAAAGATAAGGTTTTTACTGTGAAACGGAGACAGCCTAGCTTCTGGTTGAACGAGACTAATGTGTTTGCTACGATATATATTTCTTAAAACTTGAGAATAAAATCTAGTATCATTTGTCAAAAGTTTTGGACCAGGCGGAAAAAATGAGAAAAAAGTAAATGCTGAAAAAAAAAACAAATTGACCAGAATTTTTTATGCATTATATGGGAAGATTTGAGTTTGCTACAAAAAAAGGGGGGATGTTAGAGGTGGGTGTAATTATCCTTTCAGTGAACATCTTCATTCTATATCATTCAATTACGAGTGAAACATTATGTATGGAACCCCCCCCCCCCGTCACCCTTTACAACATGCCTGCATTTAATTCCTTGTAAATAATGCGTCATAATTTATATAAAAAAAAAAAACAAACCCAAAACATAATAGGGGAAATTAAATCTGAAAGATTGAATACATATTTATTTCCCTGTGATGTTGCATCTGATTATTATTTTAATTTCGTCCAAAGATGTAGTGTTTGTCTGAATTAAAGGTTACGAAAATAAATACATTTTTGCGTAGGAATGGGAAAAATGACTGTTTATTTATTTATTTTTTTTTTGAATCGTATTTGGCCATTTCTTTAGGCATGTGCGTAACAACGTTTTTCAGAAAAAAGGGGGGTTAAATGACAAGTTAAAAATACCCCCCCCCCTCAAAAAACAAAACAAAACAAAGAAAGAAAAAAATGTATTTCGGTAGGGGGTTAATCCCTTTTCGACAAAAGAAATTGAGCTAAAATGGCAGTGCTCAGCAATGTCGGCGATGCCATCAGACGTTACTCAGTAGATAGATACAAGAATATCCAATGCGTACAAAGGAGATGGGTGAACATGACGAGCGATAAGCCTATAGTATGACAAACATGAAGATGAAAAATTAAATTTCAATTATATCAAAATTTTCCTTGATATTTCGTCTAACATTAAAATGTACTTTCTGCAAAATCTCTACAATTTGCAAAAATCCCTCAAAGAGTGAAATTCTTTGCCTGTGAAATATTAGACATACTAAAGCGGGCAAAAAGAGTCATTTTCGCATACTATAACACTATTTTTCGATATGAGTGGGTCTTCGCTCCACCTTTTTGAAAGTTATCCTCAAAGTTTGCACAAATATATACATTTTTTGGTTACCAAAAATATGGAGCAATGACCCACTATACCTTAAAAATATACTTTTATGACATAACATTCGCATCTTTTCGAGAAATACTTGAAGTCCATTAAGTCAAGGGTCATATCACAAACAT